TTTTTTTTGCCCCCCCCCCTTCCCCTTATTGAAAAAAAAAGAATAAGACCCCTCTCCCCTTCACAAATTCTTGTATACGCCCCTGTATGTTTGGCCGCCTAATTACCTTAAAATACAGGAGAGGTACCTTCTAATCACACGAAGGATGTTTAGAAACCATTATCTAGAGCTCTAACTAGGGTTTACCAACCTTTTTATACATCTGGACAATTTTTTATTTGTTTTCTTACTTACAGTTCAAATCTTAATTTTACACTGGAAATAATTCAAAATCTAAACTCGGGGGGAGGGGGGGGTCAGGTCTTATTTATATATTATCCTAGCCCGTAGGTTTATGAAACATTTTGTTTAACCTTCCAACTTTCATGCTAATGAACTAAGCAATAGGAGAATTTTTTGAAAAATTACTTAAAATTTTTTTTTTTTTAAGTTGTTAATCCGCCAATGAAAACAGGAAAACCCGCAATATTGTAAATATACTTTGTTTGAAAAATCTTCCTTGATGTATGATGCCTTGTGAATATTCGTAAAAGTTTTAGGGCTTTTAGATCGGACTTTGGTGGGGGGAGGGGGGTTGTAAATGACCACTGGATTTTTCATGAAATATAAAAGGAAAACTATTAATAATCAGACTCTTTCTTCCTGTCTTAACCTTTCATTCTTCAATGTCAAGATTCTTTTACAGATCATTTTTCTAAACATTCAGTCAGAAATAATTTACTCTTTCTAATTCTATTCTTTTATTTATCTTATCTTCTAAAAAGGTGTCTTCAATTGACAATTCATCATTCATTATTTATTTCAAACATTAATTCCTGTATTCATCATTCGTTTAACAATAAATTCATTCATTCATTCATTCATTTTATTTTTTATCTTTAAAATTATAAATATTTCATATATTTTGACTATCTATTATCTTCTAATCCAACTGTCTAACCAGCCATCTATTTGTCTAACTTGGCAACCATCTAACTATCTACTTATCTGTCTGTCTAACTTTCTTTCAATGTGTCTGTTTGTATACCTTTGCTTCTAACTATCTATTTTTGCTTAAAAATATTTTAAATAAAGTGTTAAGCTATTTTTATCAATTTATCACTTCTCTCTAATTATTTCTTTATCTATCTATATTATATCTTTATATCTATTTATCTATTTATTCACCTATCCATCTATCCATACGTGTATGTATCTGTATATATATATATATCTATCTATCTATTTATCCATCTATATATATATCAATCTATCTATATATCTATCTGTCTGTCTATCTAGGTGAAGACTCCGTCTAAAGTGTACCAGGAGTATGGATATTCTAAATCTAAACCGTTCCACCGAGAAACCTGGTTTGTAGTGGCGCTTGCCGCCACCAGTATTGTCATCATTATCACCGTGGTTGCTGTTCTCTGTGTTAAATCTAAAACATATAAATATAAAGGTAAGGAATATAGGAAACTTTTAGTTTTTACTTTTTTACTTTTTAATCTTTACATTTCGGAAACTGAATAAATGAATTTGAGATACAGGATTGCTCTTAAAGGACGAGACTGTAAAGACGACCTAAAACTCTGTAAATTTGACGATCCCAATGTTAAATTAAGTCTTCTACTCTAAATAAAGTCTTTTTATATCTTACTTTGTGATTTAGCAAAAAAAAACAATATTACAGTTGCAAGGAAACATAAATATGAGGGAACAGATTACAATCGTCTCTGAAGTCTCATCCTTTGTGGATAACCTTGTAAATTCATTTAGAAAAAATGTAACAAAACTATTGATTTTAACTGTGTGCATACAAAACAACTATCTGGGTTTAATTTATAATGTTTTTGCCAATTTTCGAAAATAGCTGACCTCATTTCGCAAATCCCGAGAAATTGTTATAAGGTAATTGACGTTAGATGCCGCAAAAATATTTGTTTTATAAGGGCTCCCTGCATTTCTTTATTTCCTCCAGTGAAACCTTACCTAAAATTTTATAAAAATTCTAATATAAAATTTTAAAAATCTACTCCTCCCCTTCATGTCACATAAAATGAAAGGGCCCACGCAAAGGTGTCTGCTAAAATTTAATTAGTAGACATGAATATCATTTTAACCATTTCATTCATTCATTATCAATTTGTTCAGTTATTTATAACAGATTTGGTAGATTTTGTGAACATTTCGGAGGGGGGGTATTTGTTTGTAAAACCAATCAAGAGAATTAGCAAATCCATCAATTTGTTCAAGATTTTGCACAAACTATTGTAATCTTACACACTCAACCAACTTACATCTTAATAATAAAATTTTATTCATTTTTACTTTTACTCTCTCTTTCTTTTATGTTACCAATATTAATATTCTTCTTATTTTCTATTACCAACATTAATATTCTTCTTATGCTTCTTAGTTTCTATTACCAACATTAATATTCTTCTTATTCTTCTTATTTTCTATTACCAATATTAATATTCTTCTTATTTTTCTTATTTTCTATTACCAACATTAATATTCTTCTTAATCTTCTTATTTTCTATTATCAACATTAATTTTCTTCTTATTCTTCTTATTTTCTATTACCAACATAAATATTCTTCTTATGCTTCTTATTTTCTATTACCAACATTAATATTATTCTTATTCTTCTTATTTTCTATTACTAACATTAATATTATTCTTATTCTTCTTATTTTCTATTACTAATATTAATATTATTCTTATTCTTCGTATTTTCTATTACCAACATTAATATTCTTCTTATTATTCTTATTTTCTATTACTAACATTAATATTATTCTTATTCTTCTTATTTTCTATTACCAACATTAATATTCTTCTTATTCTTCTTATTTTCTATTACCAACATTAATATTCTTCTTATTCTTCTTATTTTCTATTACCAACATTAATATTCTTTTTATTCTTCTTATTTTCTATTACCAACATTAATATTCTTCTTATTTTATATTACCAACATTAATTTTCTTCTTATTCTTATTTTCTATTACCAACATTAATATTCTTCTTATTCTTCTTATTTTCTATTACTAACATTAATATTATTCTTATTCTTCTTATTTTCTATTACCAACATTAATATTGTTCTTATTCTTCTTATTTTCTATTACCAACATTAATATTCTTCTTATTCTTCTTATTTTCTATTACTAACATTAATATTATTCTTATTCTTCTTATTTTCATTACCAACATTAATATTCTTCTTATTCTTATCTTATTGATGTTTAGCATAATTCAAAAGTTTGGTTAAGAGCTTACTTTTTATTTTGGTTTTGGGTTTTTTTTTGTTTAATTTTCCCTAATTTTTGTAAAAAAAAACTTTGATCCAACATATTTTGTGAAAATTAAAAATGTTCATGTATGTAAAACATTTATATATTCTTTAATCTTTATTTTTTCCAGTTGTCAAAGTTATACGCATGAGAAATGGTAAGAAAATGTCCGTTCTGTCCAATTTTTTACTCTATACTTGCTGTGTTTCTTGTCCTTTTTTTCTTTTCAAACACCATTTTTCATCCTTTTCTCTTATAATACCTTTAGCACCCTTTCCACTCAGAATGTAGCACATCCTTTTCATATTTTTATTTTTATTTTGTTACATATATATTCTATAATAGATCATATATATATATATGTTTCTTACAGAATTTAAATAATTGAAAGATAAATTTTAACGTGAATGTTAACCTCCATTTTGAAATTAAACGCCCAAGACCGGAAAACTGGAGAGTAAAAATTTACTTTTACAATTCACTGTTTTTCAATTGAGATGGGTAGCGTTTTTGGGCTGGATTGTTCTTAACATTCTTTGGTTGTTCAATTAAGAGGTTCCTTGCATCTGAGATGTATATTAAATTTCAAAACTGTATGCTCTAAAAGCTCTAAAAGCTCTAAAAGCTCTAAAAGCTCTAAAAGCTCTAAAAGCTCTAAAAGCTCTAAAAGCTCTAAAAGTTTTAAAAGCTCTAAAAGCTCTAAAAGCTCTAAAAGTTGCTTTTATTATATTATGCAAATTTTTTTCTCTAGGAGAAGATTTTAGAAAAAAAAACTTTTAAAATGCTAGTTAATATCTTATATTCAAATAAATCATTGAAGTTTTCATAGCTTATTTAAATCTATTTTGGATCGTATACAAATTACAAGATTTTTATGGAACCTCTTAAAACTCTGGAAAAGCCTTGATGTTTAAATCTATGACCAATTTGTTTGATTGCAGTTGTGCATAAACCCAGCTGCAGTGGATTTTTCCTAGTAGCATACTTTGAGAAATTATTCGGGGAATAATATTTCAATTATCATTATTTATCATTGAATAATAAAACTTAATCATTTTTTGATAAATATTTAAGTTGGTTTTGTAACGATCAAACAGAGTTGGCGTTTTGTTTTTAATTTGAAATATTGTAATGGTGAAATAAATACATTATCAAATTTCAAGAACTATGTAAAATCTAACTCCTCAGGGCGGAAGGAGGAAGTTAAAACCCCCCCCCCCCCCATTTACCATTTCTTTTTGTTGAATTCGCCATTTTTTGAGTTTGCGGGGAGGGGGGAAAAGATAATTGCAGATTTTTTACTTTCCAAAAGTTTCTGGACTTATAGAATTTTTATATCACGAGGTTTTCTCTATCTTTTGGAAACTGTTCTCTTTTATTATTTTATTATCAATCATTTTCTTTCCGATATCAGCAGAAAACAATAGGTGAAAGATTTTGCATTTATTTGCAGTTTTGCACAAGGATTTTTGTCATTTTGACGAAATTGCACAAATTTTCAGGTTCTTAAGTTTCTTTTGATTCTAATCCACTGGACACATATGTGCACTGTTTGCTAGGTTTCTTCTTCTATAAAAGATACAAATATTGAAGAAAAAAATATTATTTCGTCCGCTTTGACAGATGGACATGTTGTTTCTGCTTCCCATCTTTTCATATCCAATCATTTATTTTATTCTTTTCAGCATTTTATTGGATTTAATGAAATGTTTTCAATTTTTGATCCGGAATTAAATCTTTTGGATTGGCTGGAAAACATTTTTATTAGTTTCCGCATTAATTTATAAGGCGAAGGAACCAAAAACCTGAATCCCAGGGATTTATTATCTTCCAGTACTCACAAAATATGGAGCAGATGTTAGTTACAGAATTAAAAACACGTTTTTGGTTTCTATCTCTCAATAGTTTAGTGAAAATATATTGTGTGTGTTTTTGCAAATTATAATCTTTGATTTATTAACAAGTTGTTTTTTTGTCTAGAACAAGCGAAAGAGAGTGCAATGAACGACGGAGGGATGGAAGAAGGATTTTCTACTTTTGAAATGCGACAGTCTCGACGCGGGACCATGTCGTCCAAACGGGGGACGATGAAGTCGACTACAACACGTCGGTCCAGTAATCTAGCGATGATAAGCAGTCGTGCACCTCCCCGGCCCACCCCAGGCATGGTTAACTACTCGGACGAGGACTCAGCGAAGGGATATGACGAGAACCCGGACGATTCTGATTCATTAACAGAGAAACCGTCCGAAATATCGTCCACCAGTTCACAGGTACGAAAAAGAAAAAACATGATATAAACTAAAAAGGTAGAAAAAAGGAAATAAAAAGGGACTGTCCATGTAAATTGAAATGACCCTTCAACATCTAAGTATTTACATCGGAACCCTGTAAACCTGTATCTGAGTAACTTCTACTGAAGAGAGATAAATTCTATCAATTTCCTTCAGTGACTCCCTTGCATAAATCCGAAAGTCACATATATGGAAATCTATCAATTATTAAATTTTTAGATAGAAAATTTAGAACATCTCCATCATTATGGTTTAAAAATTAAAGGGCACCTTTATGAGTAGCAATAATGGATAAAATTACTTGAAACTACGTGGACGATCCCTTTAAATATTGCCTAGAAACGATAGAAAACATTGAGCTTGAAAGTAATGGATTGATAAATATTAATTGATAGGTAATAAACTCTGAAGATTAGGGTCGAAGTAAATTGATCGATTGAAGGGTGTGGGGCCACACTTAAAGTAGAGATGTGCATCTTTTATTACTTTGATTAAACACTCGATTTTTAAAAACTTAAAAGTAACCAAAATACAATGTCCATCTCTAAAACAAAAGTAATTTGTTTTAAAGTAACCAAAATACAATGTCCATCTCTAAAACAAAAGTAATTTGTTTTAAAGTAACCAAAATACAATGTCCATCTCTAAAATTTAAAGGCTATCAATATTAAGGGTTTTTGTTACTAAGTTTTAGAACTGGGCTCGTGTAGTAAAATATGATGAGAAAACATGGGTTCTAATCAGGGAGGGAGAATGGGGTATTTGTAATATTATCATAATCATTTATTAGCGTTAATCATATTAAGATAAGAATTATCATTAACAGCTCGTTTTTCATATATTTTAAGCGAGAACCAGAATCTGTGGCATAAATGTCTTTACTTCAGTAATTTGTTACGTATTTTATAATTTTTAATTGAATATTTAAAGACTTTTTTATAAATAGCTCAGCTGTAAAATACAAAATTCACATCCGACTTTTCTCAATTTATATATAAATTTGGCTTGTCTGTCTGTTTGTTTGTATCCAATAAACGTCAAAACGGCTGAACCGATCGGGCCCAAATTTTGTGTGGGATCTCGTGTGACCCCAGGAAGGGTTATGAATGATAATGTTAAAAATGTGTGCTGAAAAGTTTTTCAATTTTGTAAAAAAAATTAAATAATAAATGTAAATGTAATAAAATCCGCGAAATTTTTGTTTTTGTTTTTTAATGTTACAATGAGAACATGTTCACAATTGAAATAGAAGATGAACGCGAAGCGCCCTAAAAGCCTAGTTAAAATAAAAAAGACGATAAGCATTTACAGTTTTGTTGTTCTTAACTTTCTTACCGTACCTATCTATCTATCTCTATCTACATCTATAATGTATTTAGGGTACCGAGAGTGAACAAGAAAGTCGTGAATCTGACCCTCATTCCATATTCAATCACTACGCGAACGTAAACAACACGTTCCGTCAGAGTTGGAAGCGTCAGAAACCTATCCTACCGGCTTCTCCCAGTAAACCTAGTGTACCTGGAGCCCGGGGATACAGCAGCTTCACGGAGTCCTCTGATCAGGACGGAAACAGTGCTGTTGTTAGTCTAAACGGTACTCAGCTGGTTATGAACAATAAAGCAAGATCTAGGGCGCCACTACCCGGCTTTTCGTCGTTTGTTTAAATATAGGATATTTCGTCGACAAATTTGGTGGCCGGGTACCCTTGATTCCTAGAGCTTTAGTTAAATCTTGTCATAATCCTGCCGGCTGTGATATTGTACAGTGTACAGTGTACAGGATAAATTTTATTCTATCTTCCATCATAAATTCTGACTATACATTGAGATTTGTATGTTTTCATAAATCAGGTATTAGTTGAGATCTGTAAAACCTGTTTTTATGAATCTCTCTGTATTATTAATGTAAAATGGTGCTCTACCAAGAAAATAAAAAGTGTTCTTATCCTGGTTCGGTTTTACATTTGGAATATCTGCTTAAAATCATACTCAAAAGTACAGTGTGTTTCACTAAATATACGTAGAGGAACACACTGTATAAAAAAATTTATTTCTATTAAAAATTTAATTTGTTATTCCAATTGTAAACCGGGCTGAGAGCTGTGACTATAAAAGGCTGTGTTACTCATTTTATTTCACTCATTTTTTGAAAAGTTCATTGCCAACTGCCATGTCATACGTCTTAAAGAAGGTTGACTTCGTGACCCCTTCTCTTAAAAACTGAGATCTCTTAAATGATAAAATGTTTTTTAAAAGCAAAATATTCGTCTCGAATTATTCCTAAAAATCTCAAGATTCTGCATTTTGAAAGTAATTTAATAATCTAATACCCCGTCGTAGTTTAATTTTTACCCTTTTTGTCAATTAACTGTCGTTCTCTGCAGTACATTAACCCGTACCATTTTATCAGTTGCAATTTGCAAACTTAATCAGTTATTAAATAATATCAGTTAATGCTACAAGTTGGTACAGCTGACATTTTACAGTTGTACAACGGGGTCCATGAAATGGGAAGATGGCTGTTAGATCGGCCAATAATCATGAAACAACGCAGTTGTGCAGTGTACACAGACGCAATTCACTTAAAAAATTTATTTTCAAAATATTGTTAAAACTATATGGTTTAAACAACGTCAGAGACACATCAGATTGTCTAAATGTCGTCTTATTCCACATGTTTATGGATCCAACTGTGTAATCGTACAAGGCCTGTACTGATATGTTTTGGTTGATAAATGTTTAGAGATAGAAAAGTACAAATGTGTTTTGTTAGTATTATTATTATAATTGTTGCTCATTATTATAGTTAAATAAAGATTATTATTATAAAACTTGTTATCAGCATCAACATATAATTATTATTAGAAGGCATTCAGAGACAACATGGCAAGTTTTCAAACGGTATACAGACACAACATGACAATTTTTTAAACGGAATTCAGAGACAATAAGACAAATATTTAGAAGACGTACAGAGACAATTTGACAAGTCTTAGGAGGCGTACAGAGACAACATGACAATTCTTTAGAAGGCATTCAGAGACAGTCTGACAAGTTTTAGGAGGCATACAACATGACAATTTTTGAAAAGGCATATAGAGACAACATGACACTCATTTACACGGTGTACAAAGACAACATGACAATTATTTAACCGGTATATGGAGACAACATAACAATTTTTTAAACGGTAAACGGAGCCAATAAGACAATTATTTAGAAGACATACAGAAACAATATGACGGTTATTTAAAAGGCATACAGAGACAGCATGACAATATTTTAGAAAGAATGATTAACTAAAGTAAATTGCACGTGAGACAGGTTTTCAATAATAATTCCTTATTAAAGGAATTAAAGAGATAATGAGAAGAACATAAATATTTTGAATTTCAAATACGGAAACAGATAAATATGCTTTCCTCATACTTGTACGTAAAATCAAAACTAGATAAGCTACGAGGTCAGAATGTCATACCAGTAATAATGTCGCAAAAATGTGACCTGAATACAAGACAAAATAGAAGGTTCTATACAGGGTTACCCACAAAGGATTAGACTTTTATGCCGACCTGAAACTCTAAATTTAATTCGATGAGAAGGTTGAATTATGATTTAATTCGATGAGAAGGTTGAATTATGATGTAATTCGATGAGAAGGTTGAATTATGATTTAATTCGATGAGAAGGTTGAATTATGATGTAATTCGATGAGAAGGATGACTTATAATTTAATTTGATGAGAAGGTTGAATTATGATTTAATTCGATGAGAAGGTTGACTTATGATTTAATTCGATGAGAAGGTTGACTTAGATGAGAAGGTTGAATTATGATTTAATTCGATGAGAAGGTTGAATTATGATGTAATTCGATGAGAAGGTTGAATTATGATTTTTGTATTAATTACAATTTTGAATCGTTAAATTTAAACAACTTGGAGAAGGAAAAAGCAGGAAGGAGGAGTGAGCCGTGAATGTGAGAAAGATGGCCGAATAAGATCCGGAAAATCGTCTCTGAAGTCATAATCTTTTCAGCTCACCCTGTATCTTCCATAAAAGTTAAATTTTAGTTTTTTTTGTAAATATCATTACATGAGTGGGAATCACAAATGATATTCAAAAATGGTGTTTATATTTTCGTGTATAATTCCCCCCTTTCAAGGTGTAAAGAAAAGTAGTTTTTAATAAACTTGTAATTAAGGTTATTCTAGGAAAAGTTTATGCTTTCATGAAACAATTTATAATTGGTGTTCAAGTGTGGGAACCTGGAATCTAAAAATAGGACCTTAGCAAAACCTATTGGACGAAATAATAATGATTCAAACGCCTTATTTTATATCCCGTTTTAAACAAAAAAAATATCCCAGAGATAACGCTTATAATGAAAAAAATGCCCTTCGGAAAACCCCGTTTAGTGAACTAAGGAAAAACATAGCATTGTTTTTTTATATCGAATATCCAATGGAAAGCAATCCTTTAGATCTGACCATTCCCAACCTAAGAAATCGTATTGATTCTTCTTGACAAACGTTTATTGAGGAACCGTACACGTTCACTTAAACTACAGGGTCACTTAAACTACAGGGTCACTTAAACTACAGGGTCACTTAAAACTACTGAAACATTCTCTTCACTATAATACAAACAAACAAATCTGACTCTTGTACAAAGTTTCAATTTTCTTAAATTTTATCATTGAAAGGGGCCTTAAGAACAAATATTAGTTCATCGCTACAATAAAGAATCCAGAATAGTAAAAAAAACTGTTTAAGAGGGCAGGGGGCGGGGGTTATGCTCACATGTCCTTCAACACTTTACATATATGTTTTTATAATTATAGTAATTATAAATTATGATTCGGTTTCCTATGGGATAATTAACCTCACATATCTAATTACATTTTTACATATCTCATTACAAAAAAAATATATTTCTTTATATATCTATCCTTCTTGCCATATTTTTTTCAGAGCACAAAAAACAGCATATTATCAGCCAAACATATCATAAACAGCATAATATCAGTCAAACATATCATAAACAGCATAATATCAGCCAAACATACAGGGTGTCCCAAAAAACATGGGAATTCAGTGACGAATTGGATATTGTCTTTGTTATGAATTAGCATTGCAATACCTAATTTCAAAAGCCATAATATTATTATGTCTGCTAGAGTTTATTTTATGAAAAGGGTAAAAGATGTGTCTATAATGTCTCTGCAAGATGAACTGTGAAGACGGACAAGTTTACTCTGTTTGTATACTGTAGTTTTCTTGTTCGCCCTATTATATGATTATACATGCTTTGCAGACGAGTACTCCATTTGTATAAGAAGTATTTGTCTGATGTACATTTACTGCGTATACAATAACCTATTCTGAATATTTCTTATACAAATGGAGTACCCGTCTGCAAAGCATGTATAATCATATGGTGGGGCCAACCGCGTCAGTTATATCTCCCTTCTATTCCTTACTCCCTGATAGAACCGTATGCAGTCAAAACATAAACAAACAAAAAGTGAACATAGCAGACGAAACTCTTACAGATTACAGCTTTCTCAGTAGGTATCACTATACTAAATCAAAGAATTATTTAAAAAGACGATATCGAATTCGTCACTGACTTCCAATGTTTATTGGGACACCCTGTATCATAAACAGCATAATATCAGCCAAACATATTATAAACAGCATAATATCAGCCAAATATATCATAAACAGCATAATATCAGCCAAACATATCATTAACAGCATAATATCAGCCAAATATATCATTAACAGCATAATATTAGCCAAATATATTATAAACAGCATAATATCAGCCAAACATATCATAAACAGCATTGTTGTCAGATAGAAACAAGATTCTCAATGATGAACAAATAAAAAAAGTGTATACCCTCAAATCAAAACCGATAATGAAGAAAAATCTTTTTTTCCTGAAAAATTATATAAATAATAACACATAAGATTGTTACAATGAATGTTTATAATGGAAAGATTCTTACGATCTATTTTGATATATCGGAGGGTTAAGTCTTCGAACAATCCTAAGGCGTTTTTTTTAAACTTCTGAAAAGAATGACAATTAATTATTAACGAAAGTTACTAATTCTTTATTTGAAAATATTCTTTGTTTAACTTTTGAAAATGGATGGATTCACAATGCTTTAAGTTATTTACACTCCGATAGGAGAACAAAGGGCCGGAGCCTAAAATTATTTGGTTTGGATTTTAGTATCTCCGAGAGGGGGTTCTAAGTTAAAGACGACTTTACATGCATCATGGTTAATGGTTGACAAGCATAATATCAGCCAAACATATCATAAACAGCATAATATCAGCCAAACATATCATAAACAGCATAATATCAGCCAAACATACAAGGTGTCCCAAAAAGAATGGGAATTCAGTGACGAATTCGATATCGTCTTTGTTATGAATTAGCCCTGTTAAATTTAAAACTTGTCTTATGATAAACATCTAACATTGGATAAAACATATCAAAACAACAAGTTACATAAAATTGTTGAGTTGTGAATAAGAAAAGTCAAATATTATCTCAACTAATTTTGGAATGATTTAAAAGTTAAAATTTGCGCTTGATATGTTTCGTTTTTTTTACGTTTAATAAATAAAGGATTTTTTAAAGGAAATTGCTGCGAAATCTGTTTTTATGATGTTTTTTTATGTTTTGTTAAATAGCTCAGTTTATAACTTAATCTAATTTAATATATTTTGATTTCCTTGGTATATTCTCTTAATAGTTTTTGATTGTAAATGTTTTTTATTTCAACGTCCTTGTTATTTAACCATCTTTCATACTTAAAAACAAATAAAAAAAATAAGTATTAATCTGGTTTTTCGCTCATAAAAACAGATCTACATATTTATCCATAAAGAGAGTGTTCGCGAAAAATGAAAGGGGGTATTGGCTTACGTCGAAAAATATTCGATGGTGATTTCTACTAATCTTACTTCTATTTATTGCGTCTATAAGGAGTAAATTGTTAAAAACGACTCATACCGAAGAACGTAGCGTCCATACAAACTCAGAAAATTGCAATATTCGACTCAGATCGCAAAAAATTCTATCTAATTCCAAACAAATCACGCAGATACCACAAGCTATAATCATCGATTTTTTTCGTTGCATTCGTATATAGATAGTTCATATTTCTTAATGTTTTTTATTGTTTTGTGATCCGAGAGTTACTTCTGAAAACATTCATTCCTGTTTCGAGGATTTTAAATAATGAAGACGACGTTTTCATATTTTCCAGGAACTTTCGAAAATCCAGCGCCAGCCGAGAAAACAAGTTGTTAGCGAAATATTAATATAAAACAAACCAAATCTGAAATATTATGAAATATCAACTATATACGAATGCGTCGAGAAAAAATCGATGATTACAGGTTTGTTTTGTTTGGAATTCAATTGATTTTTTTACGATCCGATCCGAGTAGAATATTGCAACTTTCTGAATTTGTTTCGGCATGAGTCGTTATAAACAATTTTCTCCTTATGGACGAAACAGATAGAAGTAAGATTAGTAGCAATCACCATCGAATATCATTCGACGTAAGCTTATACCCCCTTTCATTTTTTGCGAACACTCCCTTTAATAAACAGAAAAATATGTAATTTGTGTGCTTCTATACACCAATTATTTTTGTTTTTATCCTTGCCTACATGTGTAATCAGTACTCAACAAGCTTTAGATTGTTTTTTACTTTTAAGCAGGGGGAATAGTTTATCAATACGTTCTTTCATACGAATTACAGGAATTGGATTCGGATCCAAATGCTTAAGTTTTAATCTTGTTTTGGTTTAAGGCTTAGATTGAAATTAAATAAACCTAAAACAGTACACTTTACACCAGTACACTTTACACCAGTAAACTTTACACCAGTACACGTTACACCAAGTGCACTTTACACCAGTACACTTTACACCAGTACACTTTACACCAGTACACTTTACACCAGTACACTTTACACCAGTACACGTTACACCAAGTGCACTTTACGCCAGTACACTTAACAACTAATTAGTAAATAATGATAAATTGGGTCTTTTTAAGAAATTCTAATTTTCTAAACCCTATTTCTTGACAACCTGATGTTAAACCTTTGATATTTCAAACTCAGATTATTGATCTTACATAAGTCATAGTTTGAAATATCTAAAGTCCACGACATAGGGTTGTAAAGATATAAAGATTAGAAAATCAGAGATTATGGCAATTCGTTTCCCACTTTTCTTTCACTTCAATAATTGGAGTGATACACTATCTTTAGTATATTATGTACAATGTACATGTACCCTCCAGAATATACTATTTTTAGTATATTATGTACAATGTACATGTACCCTCCAGAATATACTATATTTAGTATATTATGTACAATGTACATGTACCCTCCAGAATATACTATATTTAGTATATTATGTACAATGTACATGTACCCTCCAGAATATACTATATTTAGTATATTATGTACAATGTACATGTACCCTCCAGAATATACTATATTTAGTATATTATGTACAATGTACATGTACCCTCCAGAATATACTATATNCTTGCCCCCCCCCCCCATGACTAATAAGTCGTGACCTAGGCCTTATCTTTTCATACTTAGCACAAGTAGAAATTTAACAAAAACCCAGCTGCCTGAATGGTAAAAGCCCAGCTGCCTGAATTGTTTAAGTAGACGCATATTAAACCTTTCTCCGATTAAACAGGAAGTAAAAACGTTGACAACTTTAATACAAAAAAATAACTAGAAGAGGCCGGAAACTAAAAGAGGCCGGAAACTAAAAGAGGCCGGAAACTAAAAGAGGCCGGAAACTAAAAGAGGCCGGGAACTAAAAGAGGCCGGAAACTAAAAGAGGCCGGAAACTAAAAGAAGCCGGAAATAGTGATAGTCAAAGCTGCTCTAGTCTTTCCTCCACTCTAAAATATTTTAATTAATTAATCATTCAAGCTCTTGTCTAAAAAACGTGTATAATCGATCATACCAAAAAAAAATGTTTCCGTCAATTTCTTCTGAGTACCTCTAAGGCTCTAAAAGTTAAAAAAATTTAAATAATTTTTTCCTTTCAGGATTTAAAAAAAACTAATTTAAAGTAAGTACATAAGCTTAGTGTCGGGCATCTCTTTAACCCTTTTTTTATTACTCAAGGATTTTTGACTTTCAGATGTCCAAACAAAAATTTACTGGATCCTTCCCTTTCTTCTTAATCGTAGTCTCTACAAGTTTGATTTTATACATATATGCTAACGTTTGGACGTTAACAGAACGAAAAAAACAAGTTGTTTATTAACGAGCGAGTTTCCTTAGAAATTGCTTGTGTCAGAGATATTATTTTGTTAAATAAAAAACTTTTAGAAACACTTTTAGAAACTTTTAGAAACAAATATATAGTTATATTCAAAAATATATACAAAAATCTATATATAAAAACTAAGAGCTTTATAATATAGAAAACAATTTAGAATTTCTTTAAACTGCTTTAATGTTGAGGAGCCTTTTGAAATTCCTGAAAATTTAAATGTTAAAAATAATTCCCAACGCCGCTGTACAAAATAGAATATAGTAAAAAAAGCTCTTATATTCTCTTGATAGCTGTTGAAGCTAACTAATGATTCATGATTCTATTTGGAAACCAAACACAATCCATAATCACTGAAAACCAGACAGAACGAGACACTACTGGTAAGACTTTGTGACCTCGTAACTCCTCTAGTTTACATTTTCCGCTCAATTATGAGAAAAAACATCCGGTTTTGTTCTTCTCAATAGCCATTTTTATAAGAGGAGTTATGAATTAAAACAAATAAAATTTGAATTTTACGGGAGATTTACTTTAGTTACCCGTGTGAACAGTAAAAAATTATGTTGTTGAACTAAATGAGGATATTAAAAGAATGATAAAAATTGTAAAGTTTCCAATCACGATGTACTCCTGGCAACATGAGCTAAGCACAGCGTGCCGCGCACACAACTCATTATCTGACCAATTTTTCAACTCAAAACAAAGGTTATTTGGGTCAAACAACGATTGTCTCAAGACAAGGTCGTAAATATTCAAGATAGGTTCTCCTAGGTATTCTAAACAGTAGAACATAGTGTAATTTCCTGTTCAGGGATTTTTGGACCTCCCCCCCCCCCCCACCTCCCTTCCCTTTTCTATCATTATACACGAAATGTAGCATTGTATGGGCATGTTAGAATAAAAAACTTCTTAATTTTTAAACTTATTTAAATCTGTTTCTATCCTCTATTAAATTCAATTTTCAAAAATATATTCCTTTATTTCACTTTATTCAGTTGGCACTTCTGCCTTCGTTTATCAATTACATTTACTCTTTTAAATCCATTTTATTCTTACTTAGATATACGGACTTTTATTGCCATGTCTCCCCTTTTCAACTCCTTAATTGGTTTCAACTGGCTTCTCCCAAATAGATTATCAAGTACAATAGGTGGCAACAGAGAAATAAACCAATTTTACACAACGTCACAAGTGTCAAATATAACAAGGAAAACGAAATTTTCTCAGATAAGTTGACATGTTTACCAAGATTAAATAATAAAGTGTAAAAACAGAAACTTAAGAACACATAAAATTGCACTTATTTTACTGTAAAAAAGCACTTGATTCTAAAATTATCACTATTATTGATAATTTTGTCGGACACAAAAACTGAATTGACACTTGTGACGACAGAATACAGCTGCACTGAGAGTGTACAAATTCTACGTTGCCATTTATTGTACTATACTATATTTGGTTTCTCCTCTTTTAACTTTTTTCTTCCTTTTCCACTCTTTTTTCTCTTTATCCTCTTTTAAATCCTTTCTCCGCTTTCCACTCTCTTCTTTTTTTCTTTTAATTTGTGACCTTTAGATCTTCTAGTTTTGCTCCTAGTCCTTTTCTTAGTCCTGCTCCTAGTCCTGCTCCTAGTCCTGCTCCTACTCCTGCTCCTAGTCCTGCTCCTAGTCCTGCTCCTGGTCCTGCTCCTAGTCCTGCTCTTAGTCCTGCTCCTAGTCCTGCTCCTAGTCCTGCTCCTACTCCTGCTCCTAGTCCTGCTCCTAGTCCTTTTCTCAGTCCTGCTCCTAGTTCTGCTCCTGGTCCTGCTCCTAGTCCTGCTCCTAGTCCTGCTCCTAGTCCTCCTCCTAGTCCTGCTCCTAGTCCTGCTCCTAGTCCTGCTCCTACTCCTGCTCTTAGTCCTGCTCCTGGTCCTGCTCCTAGTCCTTCTCCTAGTCCTGCTCTTAGTCCTGCTCCTAGTCCTGCTCATACTCCTGCTCCTAGTCCTGCTCCTAGTCCTGCTCCTAGTACTTTTCTTAGTCCTACTTCTAGTCCTGCTCCTAGTCCTGCTACTAGTCCTACGCCTAGTACTTTTCTTAGTCCTGCTTCTAGTCCTGCTCATAGTCCTTTTCTTAGTCCTGCTCCTAGTCCTGCTCCTAGTCCTACTCCTAGTCCTGCTCCTAGTCCTTTTCTTAGTCCTGCTCCTAGTCCTGCTCCTAGTACTTTTCTTAGTCCTGCTTCTAGTCCTGCTCCTAGTCCTGCTCCTAGTACTTTTCTTAGTCCTGCTCCTAGTCCTGCTCCTAGTACTTTTCTTAGTCCTGCTTCTAGTCCTGCTCCTAGTCCTGCTCCTAGTCCTGTTAATAGTCCTGCTACTAGTCCTGCTCTAGTCCTGCTCCTAGTCCTGCTCTTAGTCCTGTTCCTAGTCCTGCTCCTAGTCCTGTTAATAGTCCTGCTACTAGTCCTGCTCTAGTCCTGCTCCTAGTCCTGCTCTTAGTCCTACTCCTAGTCCTGCTCCTAGTCCTTTTCTTAGTCCTGATCCTAGTCCTGCTCCTAGTCCTGCTCCTAGTCCTGCTCCTAGTCCTGCACCTAGTCCTGCTCCTAGTCCTGTATATCTATAGATCTAAGAAGAATTAATGATACATGCTTACTAGAGATTTTATCAAGCCACGATACAGTTAATAATATCTTATCTTAAACCTATATATCCATTTATCTATATCTATCCATCTATCCTTCTCCTCTTTACTGATTAATTTTAGATAGTAGGGACAATGCTATAACTTTAAAGGGGGGTCGGGCCATATATTTTCATGGGTTATTGTTTTTTTTTCATCCCTCACCTTTAATGTTTTTATCTTTTCACCATGTATTAGACTCCTCACCATACATTGATAGATAATTAGTCATATACAGGGTGTCCCACTACTAATGATAATTAGACTCCTCACCATACATTGATAGATAATTAGTCATATACAGGGTGTCCCACCACTAATGATAATTAGACTCTTCACCACACATTGATAGATAATTAGTCATATACAGGGTGTCCCACCACTAATGATAATTTCTTGATAATAATAGAGAATAAAGACAAATCATCTTCTCTGATGTTTAGAAATACATGTATATCTGTTACATATAAATGTAATATATGTTTATACGTTTTAAAAATATTGTGATTTTTGGCATTCCATGGGGAATGTAATTTTATAAGTACTAGGCTTTAAGGGCGCTTCGCACCCATCTTCTATTTCAATTATGAACATGTTCTCTTTATGAACATTGTAAAACAAAACAAATAAAGTTTGCAGATTTCATAAAAAAAATTTCGTGGATTTTCAAAACTTTCAAAAATTTAATGAAAATCGAATTTGTTGGAAGCATAAACCTTCCCTGGGGCCACGTGAGGTCCCACACAAAATTTGGGTTCAGCCGTTTTGATGCTTATTGGATACAAACAAACAGGCAGACAAGCAAAGTTTATATATAAATGAACTTAGAACAGTTTTCTAAATGTGATCTGTCTTTCATTCGATTTGGCGTAATCAATTTAATAATGTTCAAAATAAATTAATATTTTTTAAAATTTTTATTTTAACAATTTTATCAAATAAAATAGACGATATGATATTGATATCAGACACAATTTTGCAAGGTTGCCTTCTCTCCGCTCACACACGTCTGCGAGCAGTTCTTCAAAAATGGTCTAAACGTCCAATAAATCTTATTTTAATCACATTATATGGAAAGCTTTCAAGCCCGTCAACCATTTTGTATACACCCGGTGTCGTTTAATTTTTTAGATTAAAGTCTTTGATTACTATTAAATTAAAAATCAAAGACGATCTCTATTTAGACCTTCAAGTGTATGTTTTTCGAGAGTCACCGGCCTGTAACTCACAGATTATAAAGTCATTGATTTCTTATAATTGTTGGCATACTGATATTCAAAAAACATGGACATCTTACTNATCCTCCCCCTTCCAGCTCCCTTTTCTTCTCCCCAACCTAGAAAATAAAGAAGAAAAAAATTCTTTTCCATATTACATTTTATATGTAATAATTCAACATTAACCAATCCTATCCTATACATTCAGCGTTCATAAATATTTCCTTAAAGGGACTGTAAGCGTAATTTCAATTGAACCTTTCTGAAAAGAGATAAACACTTTACGAACGACCGGTATCCTTCACATTTTTAATCAGGCTAAGATTTCAAGGCTACCGTTGCAAATCAGGCATTGCCATTTTTCATGGTGGGCCACTTGATAATACGCTTACAGTCCCTTTAAAACTTCAAATCTAGCATTTTAACAGATTTTATCTAATATCTGTATCCATACATTTGTATAGGTTCGGTTAAAGGTTTATACGCCAATATATCCTGTATATTGGCTGCCCAGTGCCCAGCAGTAATTCTACAGGGTGTTTTTAGAGATTGATCAAACCAAAATTTTATAAGTTTCTATCAAAGTTTTGTCAAGTCCTAAAAAATAATCAAACCAATAATAAAGACCGTGTTAAAACTGACAAGCGTTAACGTTAAATTCGGTCAGAGTTTTTGATAAGTCAAACGGTTTTCTATTATTCGAAAACAACGATAGTATTTCTTATAACCTGAGAAATGATTTTTTAAATGAATACGATAAGCCACATGACTGAACACACCACTTTATAAATGATTTTAGAAGGGAATAAGAAAACCCACAGATAACCATAATTATGACAAATAAGACTTTCCAAAGTCTTGTAAGTTAAATAAGACTTAAAGTAAAATAAGACTTTTTCAAAGTCTTACTTAACCAAAATACGTCATAAATAAATTCTCTTGCCTTGCTAAGGAATACAGAGTTTTGTTAACAATCTTTATTAATGTTTTAAAAAACCTATCCTCCTCTCCTTAGATCTACTCTAGTTGATCTTAGATCTACTCTAGTTGAGCTTAGATCTACTTTAGTTGATCTTAGATCTACTTTAGTTGAACTTAGATCTACTCTAGTTGATCTTAGATCTACTGTAGTTGATCTTAGATCTACTGTAGTTGATCTTAGATCTACTCTAGTTGATCTTAGATCTACTCTAGTTGATCTTAGATCTACTTTAGTATGCAAGGGGCGTATACAAGAATATGTCCAGGGGAGGAGCTTTAAAATTACCTTTTGAACGAGGAAAGAAGGCTCATACGCCCGTGCTTAGTTTCCTGTAAATTTGACCCTTATCTATCTTATATTGGGTTCTCTATATGTACATTGTAATAGTATCTCGAGGCGTTAAAGTGATAAATATCAAATATAATATGTTCCAATAAATCTTCCTCCAGCTGAGATTACTAACTATCTGAAAGTGAATTAATCTATGGCAAAACTATGTAGATATATTTTGAAGCTTGTTTCGCGAGGCTCGGATGCGGAGATCAATTTACAATGCTCATGGTGAAGCACCCCCCTCTTGGAGCGATAAATATGTCTGTAGGAATCACATTATTAAAATTAAATAAAAAAGTTAATTAGCTATTTAAAAAACGAAGAAGATATTCATGTGGCTCGGAGGTCATCTTGTGTGGCTCATGGCGTAGGACTCTACATCTCTCGTACAGTATCTTCAGACATGACAGCAATAAATATCAAATAAAAATATTTTCAAATATATCTTCCCCCAACTGAGATTACTAATTAGTAGAAAGCGTAAGTAACTTCATATAATATAACAAGGAAAAAAGTCGGATATCTTTTTATTCAGAAATATTCTGGTTTCAAATGTTAATTTTAAAGGGAGTGACCGGCTATGTAAGGTAGTTAAACTGAGTATGCAGTGTTGTGGGCAAATTCTGTAGGATTCATTTGAGACATAAAACTTTTCCACGATGTATAATTACTGAGTTTGCGTTCATGGTTGACGTTCAAAGTCATGAATTTGGGTTTTTAGGATGGGTTTTTAAAAATTATTAAATAACGACGACGAAAAATAAAGCAAAAATTATACAGTAAACTAATCAGTTGGTTAGGAACATATTTCTCAAAAAGAAAGAAACTTGAATAATGAGAAAATAGAAACTAATGATTGCTCAAGATTTCTTATTTTCGATTATAAGATTAATTTTAATTTTCTCAACCTGTTCCTAAACAAATAATTAGTTTACTGTATTATCTTTTTATATATCTATCTATCTATCTTTCTATCTATCCATCTATCTATACATCTATCTATCTATCTATCTATCTATCTATCTATCTATCTATCTATCTATCTATCTATCTATCTATCTATCTATCTATCTATCTATCTATCTATCTATCTATCTATCTATCTATCTATCTATCTGTCTGTCTGTCTGTCTATCTATCTATCTATCTAATTATATATCTATCTATTCTGTATTTTAATCATGATTCTAATATCAATAATTTATAATATGTGAGAGTGAGGCCTACTAGTGTGCCCAAACTCTTTAGTATAAAGCCGATATGCAGTAAATCAGAGCTGGGAAATTCTCTGTTGGATATCCGGCTAAGCCTTGAAGTTTAGCGGCTAAACTAGATATCCAGAGTAAACACGTTAAAAATAACGGGCTTTAAGTCTTTTTAAGTCTTAAATCGGAGAATCCTTAAGCCTTAATTCCGCCAATTACAGCATTTAACCCCTGAAATTAATTCTGCGATTAAGGTTCTAGTAATCAACATGAAGATTAACGGCTAAGCCTACAGGAATCCTAGAATGAGCCAGTTATCCAAATAAAAAATAATGCCCTCAGATCTGTAAACAACAAAACTTCGAAATTTCTTGGATCCAGATCTAGACATTATGATTTTCAACGATTCATTCTCTCATTCATCCTTGCACCCTTGCTGTCATCCCTCATTTCATTCTCCAACATCCTTTTGCATGCACCCTAGCTGTCATCCCTCATTTCATTCTTCCTTTCATTTTCCATCTCATTCATCCTTGCACCCTAGCTGTCATCCTTCATTTCATCCTACCTTACATTTACCATCTCATTCATCCTTGCACCCCAGCTGTCATCCCTCATTTCATCCTACCTTTCATTTCATTTCAATCATCCTTCAATTATATTTTGACAGACAATGTTGAGTATATAATTACAGATCAGAATTCAACACTTGTTATGTTGGATTTCAAGGCTAGCCGATGTCGCATGCATTAAATCTGAATTTAATTGGATTTTGGTCTAAAATCAAAAATCCTTGAATTCATAGAATCGTCTTTTCATAATACCCTTCAGAAGATATAAAAGATAAAAAATGTTTGAAGGGACTGTAATCGTAATTCAAGTCTGCGGTACCCTTGAAAGCTTTGTCTGAGCCGGCGATTTAAAAAATTCAAGAAAATACGACTCGGGTCTAAGCCGTTGTTGAGCCTTATATACGGCTCGGGCTTTCGGATTTAAGTTGCATCTATTTTTCAACAGAATTTAGTTCGTAAAACCGGTTTAATGTTGTATTTGGCGGATTTTTATAGTTGGAATTGGCGCATTCCGGGTTTTGATGAGAACAAGACCCAACATTGAGCCTTATTCTCCACTAAAACCAACCAAGGTCGGTTTTATTTTCATTGGGCTTAACTCCTTAAGTCGAGCCTAAGATCTCGCAGCTGTCAATCACGTGACACAAGCTGTCATCAGAGTTGGGTCTAAGATTGGGTCTTAAAGCTGCGTTTAAGGAATTAAGACTCGAGCCGAAGCTTTTAAATCGCGGGCTCAAGTAAAAATTAGTTGCCAATGTTTTTGTTTCTTTAAAATGTTTTTTTTTTTCATTTGCGGTTTATCTGCGAAAGTGACCTGCGCATTTCTTGTTTATGCGTATAGCAATAGAGAAACTCACAGAAATAAACGCTTTTAGAGTCAGAAATACGACCGTATCTGCCACATTTTTGATCAGATTAAGGTTCCAAAGGTACCGTTGTAAATCGGACATGAAGGGTCACTTGAAATTACGCTTACGGTCCTTTTAAAAGGTAAGAGTCTGATAGAAAGTCACAGTTTGCTGTAAAATCTGCCCTCGATATATTTGCAGAGCCCTGTATATTGTATACTGTAAACATAATTCTGATTATATTTTGATTACAGATATCTGTCTGATTTGATTTCCATCTTGACTACTTCATTCAGAGTAAGACAGGGAAGGTTTCGGGGGAGGGGGAGGTCATCGGGGCAGAGAGGAAGGTTAGGATGGGAGAAGTGGGGGGGGGGGGTTGTGAATGGTGGAATGGCATTGACATGTATTTATTATGAAATTGATGATATTTATTAAGTAACATTGCATTATGTTAATTCAGTTTTAAACTCTGTCTCTCTGTTATCTTTTCAATTGATCGAACCTTCAACACTTTTAACCAATGACTGTAGAGATTTTCTTCTGCTCTTAATTAATTTTTGTTTCTTCTGAATCATTTAAAAAAAAAGAAAATTCCTGTGAATCAGTGAAGTGATGAAAATCTTTTTCATCGTTAAAACCTACTAAAATTCTTATTAATTCATAATAATAAGAATATTTAAGCAATAGACAAATTTCATAGTTCTTCAAACACAATGATATTATTTTTTTTTATATTATAGTTCTTTAAATTTCAGACTAATTCTATTTTCTCACTCGCTCAATGTTAAATACCGAAAAGATTCAGCTCTGTTCTGTGTATCTTCTCGGGGTTTCAATACTATGTGTGTCAGTTTTAACTTTTATTTCTGTGAACTCCTAAACTCGATACAGTTAAAAGAAGACCTATTTTCTTGATGACTTTACCATTGAGAGTGAAGAAAATGCAATAATTAGAAAAATTCTATAAAACCCAATAAAACCCAAAAAATCCCACTTACTGGTGGGGGTTTTAAATGGGTTGTATTGGGTGTTTTATTTGGGCTGGGATTTTCAACGATCCTTTTCAAACCTTTGTCTCAGCAGAAATGATCTATCAAGCTGAAAAATACAACTTAAAACAGGAATATCCGCGACATTTATTATAGTGCATTTGTTTACATATTTATAACGAAAAGGGAGCCCAATTAGGATAAATTGATACAATCAAATTTGATTTGTTTTTTGATTGATTGATTGACTGGCATTTTAATAATAATTAATTATATACATGAGGGTTGCGGGGGTGCAGAGCCCCCCCCCCCCTGCATAGAAAAGTTTCATAATTTTGGCATAAAAGTTTAGCTTGTTATTAGGTCATTTTCTAATTTGTCAACAACGCTAGTAATTTAAGCTTGAACTTAAAAGATAACAATGAAAATTGGATTTTCTCTGAATTTGATGTTTTGTATGGTACAGGGAAAATTTTCATAATTTTGTTTTCAGCTCAAATTATTCAATATTGGAAGACAGAAAATGTTGATAATTTTGATATTACTACTCACGTACATTGATTTTGAATTTTTTGGACAAAATATTGAAATTGAGGCAATTTCTGCAAAATTAAAGAGTTAAATTTTTGATATATACTGGAACATATTTGTTACATTGCATGTAAGACTTATGTATATCGACATATGCGAAACAAACCAGTTCACTCTGAAAATCTTACCTCAGGACAAATATTTTTCAAAAGGTTTAATTTGGTTGGTCTGATGGAACAGCTTTAGTAAAGAATTGTGCAGAGATAGCATATACTATAGTATAGTATAGTATAGTATACAGAATGATAACAAATTTTGAAAACTTTGAATGATAATATCTCAATTTTTCCAGAGAGTGTAATACCAAGGAACTTATTTAAAAAGGGGGGTGTAAATTCGTTATTGCCCCCCCCCCCCCTGGGTACGGTCCTGCTATTGCACCCCCCCCCCTTGGGTACGGTCCTGCTATTGCACCCCCCCCCCTGGGGTACGGTCCTGCTATTGCACCCCCGCCCCCCCTGGGGTACGGTCCTGCTATTGCACCCCCCCCTGGGGTACGGTCCTGCTATTGCACCCCCGCCCCCCCTGGGGTACGGTCCTGCTATTGCACCCCCCCCTGGGGTACGGTCCTGCTATTGCACCCCCCCCCCCGGGGTACGGTCTTGCTATGCATAATATATAAAAATTACATAATTTATATAATGTAAGTGTGGAACAAGTTCATTATAACTTGTCATCCAAACAAATTGCCAATTACAGAATATTTTTCAAAATATATCTTTTTCTAGTTATTTGTAATATAGGTTGATTTTGGCTCCAACAAGAAATTAACTGGAATGATAAATATATCTTACTACTACGCTTTTAGGGCGCTTCGCGCCCATCTTCTTTTTCAATTGTGAACATGTTCTCTTTGTCTACATTGTAAAACAAACAAAAAATTTGTGGATAAAAGAAAATTACGTTGATTTAAATCTAAAAAAAAAATATATTGATGGAAGCAAATTTTTGAAAATTCGATCATCCATAAACCTTCCTTGGGGTCACGCAAGGTCCTACAAAAAATTTGGGCCCGATCGGTTCAACCTTTTTGACTTTTAATATATACAAACGGACAAACAAACAAACACCCACCCAAGCAAAGTATATAGTTAGTAAAATATTCTAGTTGTATCTGAAAAAACTAATTTTAACCAATTTAATCAATTGTGTTGCTTGATAAGTTACAATACCCTTCTAATCAATTGGACACAAAGCAAGGTCTGTTTGCTATCCTATTCGGATAACGAGAAAGTGGTTGCCATCTTTCCCTCCTTATTGGCTAGACAGAAAGTGGTTGCTTACCCTCCCTCCTTATCAGATAGACAGAGAGTGGAAGTAACCCCTCCCTTCTAATCAAATCAATAGGAAGTGGTTGCCATCCCTCTTTCCTAATCGGATAGACAGAAAGTGTTTGCCATCCCTACCTGCTTATCGGATAGAAAGTAAGTGGTTGCCATCCCTCCCTACTAATCGTATAGACAGAACGTGGTTGCCATTCCTCCCTCCAAATCGGATAAATAGAAAGTGGTTGCCATCCCTCCCTACTAATCGCATAGACAAATTATGTGGTTGCCATCCCTTCCTCCTAATCAGATAGATATACAGTGGTTGCCGTCCCTTATTCCTAATCGGATAGATAGAAAGTGGTTGCCATCCCTCCCTCCTAATCGGATAGAAAGTAAGGACGGTAATTAACCTTGAATGGGGGCCAATTATTCAGAAGAATTGATACTCTCTCTAGTTCCTCTAGTTCTCAAGTACAGATACGTAAACATCTTAACCCTATATTCAAACTAGAAATAAAATTATAAAATCGCATAGATAAAGACTCCTATGAGAAGTTGCAATAACAACTTGCAAGTCAATTTACATTAGTTTGGCGTGTACTTTATGCTTTTTGCAATTTAAAATTTACAAAATATTTTTGACATCATTAAAAACAATCATTGGTAATACTCTTAATTTTAAAATTTTGTTTGTCAATATATATATATATATATATATATACACATATATATACCTACAACTCTTAAAATATTTCAATCCAGGGTTAAACTAAATCTTCTACTTTGAATTTTTTTTATTGGCATAATTACTTGTGGAATTCTCTGCTCTGATAGCTCAATATTTTAAGTTTTATTATGTCATAAAAATAATTTCTCTTCCTTCACTTTAATAAATGTTTAATGAAGAGAATTTGATTTCACTAGCTAGCTTTTTAGGTTTCCGAATTATTTTGGTTCTTTTCGTAATAGATTTTATTTTGTGTTTTCAGAAGAAAGATCTTAACGCCCGAGAAAGTATTTTCAAGCAAATCTATGAATTGTCTGGATGTCTCCTAGTCGTTCTTAAATCTATATTTATATTTTGTGTTAATCCATCAATTGGGCTCGCGGATAAATACCTCTTTAAATGAGTCTTGTATTCTCAAATTTTAGTCTTTTTTGATGAATTTTCGCAACTTTTTCGCCAAAATTTTGCATTTGTTTTAAAAATTCTGTAATTCTCGCGAAATTTCGTTGTTTTGCATAATTTCCATTTTTTTCACGAAATTTTCGCACATTCTGTCAAGGTCAAAATAAAAGCATGATGCCTCTAAAAAGTACTGAAAAATTCGCCAACTTTTTTCATTTAAGTTAATAAACTGGCCTGATTTATCATCAAAACATTGTCAAACCTTTTTTTCATCCCTAGGTTCAATACTGCACAAAAAAGCCATTAAAAAGATTTTAGCATGAAAGCTTTGTGGCCGTTTTTTCCGAGTTTTCAGCCACTGTGCGTCTTCTGTCATTTTCTAAAACAGTTTTCTTTGAACTTACATGTCTCCAAACAGAAGAAGAACTGGTTTCTTCCAGGTTTTCAAACAGTTCTTGGCTTCCCACATGTGAGGTGTGACAGGATCGTCTTTAAAGAGAGGAACAAGGAGGGGCCAGGAGGCCACGCCTCCACAGTACAGGGGGGAGGGGTGAGGAGCAGAATATCCTAAATCAAAACGGCGGAATCAGTCAGACCCAATTTTTGTGTAAACTCGCATGAAGAGTTATGGCTGGTGCCGTGGATGGCGAGCCTATACCCTGCATGAAGAGCGTTTTAATCATTTAAACACAATTTCAGACATTAAAACTAGTTTTAAAACATTTAAAATTATCAGTTTACCTTTACATATAGAAATCTTTGAAAATGTTTATTTAAGGGGGAAAACGTAAAAAATATTTTTTTCGTTTAAATGTCGTTTTCCTCTCAAATTATCAATTAATCATAATTTCTTAGAGACATAAATAATTGTAAAGTGTTTGCCCAATAAAAATACTTTAATAGATATCTGCAAGTGTCATAACATTGGTTTGATGTCTAAAAATGTGTTGAAACGGTGTAAAAACTAGGCTCTCCGTCCAGGGTAGGCGGACACCAGTGTCGAGCAACAAATTTTTAAATAAGAAATATTTTTGATAATCCGTCATCACTCATCAATCACAACAAGACAATCTTGTTACTATTTCAAATTATACAGAAAACAAACAGTAATACCATTTTTTCATAAGGAAGTTTTACCTTCTAAACTGTTGGTTGGAAGATTATGTGCTTTAAATGCAAAATTAAAAACAGATTTAACTGGTAACCAGGTTCCTAGCAACAGCACAACAGATCTCCAGATCAAGAAGGGTAGGGCCTGATATCATTATCATTATACTATTATGAACAAGATCCGAGTTTAAAGAATTTGAGCTAAGTCGCTAAACCACCAACCACCGGTTCAAATTTAAATCACTGATTAAAAGTTAAAGATTCAGTAGGATTTTAATCCTTGATTCAAGATTTTAAATCATGGAAAATCTGAAAATTGACAAAAAAAATAGCAATCCCATTGAGTAAAACATTATTGCTATAATGCCTTACCTTAGAAAAAATTGACAGGCCTCCATTATCAAAGTTTAGGACTGGGTCAGGGAGGCCAGTATTCATTATTACGAGGTTAGCGAACAGCCGAGGACAGTCTTTTACTAGAATAGAAAATTAATTTTATACATAAAAAAGAATTTTGAAGAAAAAAATCGATTTTTAAAAAAAATTTGCATTTTTGTAGTCAAATTAAAAATTTTCTAAATTGTTTTTTTGGGGAGAAAACAAAGTGTTCTAGACTGAAATACCTACTGAAAGACCAGTTAGACCGCCCCAATCCTGACATACTAAGCTAATTTCCTAAAAAATTATTTTAAAATTATAATTTACTAGCTGTTGCCCGTTGCCCGTTGAAAAAAATTTTAACATTATTTAGATATATTTAGCAATAAAAAAATCGACATTTGTTTAGCTTAAAACACCTCCTGGCCACCCATGAGTGTCCACAAAAAATGTGAGCCCAGTGGCAACATATATATGAATGCTTTATTATATAGATTTGGTTTGGTGCAGTTAAAGATGGACTACGACACTAACTCGTGTCTGTAAATTATCATTTTGTCGACGGTCATTAGAACATAAAATTTCATTCGCTGTGTAAAAAAATGGGTGTTCGGACATTTAGATAAAACATTTCATAGACCGGACATTTCATAGATAGCATATTTCATGGATATTACATTTCATAGATAGCACATTTCATAGACGGGACATTTCATAGATAGTACATTTCATAGATAGAACATTTCATAGATAGCAAATATCATAGACTGGACATATCATAGACGGGACATTTCATATATAGGACATTTCATAGACGGGACATTTCATAGAAAGTACATTTCATGGATAGTACATTTCATAGATAGGACATTTCATAGATAGCATATTTCATGGATAGTACATTTCATAGATAGGACATTTCATAGATAGGACAATCATAGACGGGACATTTCATAGAAAGCAAATTGCATGGATAGTACATTTCATAGATGGGAGATTTCATAGACGGTACATTTCATAGATAGTACATTTCATAGATAGAACATTTCATAGATAGCACATTTCATAGATAGCACATTTCATAGAAAGGACATTTCATAGATAGTACATTTCATAGATAGAACATTTCATAGACGGGACAGTACATTTCATAGATAGGACATTTCATAGATAGAACATTTCATTGATGGGACCTTTCATGGATAGTACATTTCATAGATAAAACATTTCATAGATAGCACATTTCATAGATAGTACATTTCATAGATACCACATTTCGTAGATAGCACATTTCGTAGACGGGACATTTTATACATAGGACATTTCAATGATAGGAAATTTCAAAGATATATAACATTTCTCGTACGTGATATTTTTCCAATTGTAATCTTATCTAATAAATGAAATCCTGTTCTTTCTAAAGTCTTTTTGATTTTTACTTCACAATTATTCATAGTTTTGCTTTAAACTGACTACATATTTATTGCTGATATTTTTAAGTCAACTGATTTCATTTTCTAAAATTGTGAAACATTTTTGAATAGCCTCTGAAAAAAACAATGTTTTTCTGTCTATGAAATTACCAACCTATGAAAATTCTTTTCTGTCTATAAAATGTCCTGTTTATTATTTTGTTATATCTATGAAATGTCACAACACCAAAAAATGGAATTACAAAACAAAAAATTTCGTAAAATTCGAACAAAATTCGCGATAGTTCACTAAAAAATTCGAGAGAAAAAAATTAATTTTTTGTTGAAAACTTGACTCGAAAACATTAAGATTATTTCATTCGACATCATGAACTCAATCGATTGATTACAAACCTGGAGTTCAAGATGATCAATGAGGAATCTAAGAACCATTGTATGCATCTCATGGGTATAGTTTCTAGGAGAACTGTACTTGTCGGATTTTCCGAATCCTGGAAATTTTCAAATTTAAGAAAGCCAATAAACAAACATAAACATACACCCTATCCCATGAAACATGACAACTGAGAGACGACTTTCAGATTTATACAACATTTTAGAATTTAATAAACTAGGGAAATTTGAATTTCAATTAAGTATTAATTCAAGAATTCTACTTCTAAAATTGGTTAACGATTGAATGTCGCAAGATGCTTTATCTAAAGTCCGAAATTGGACTAAACGTAAGGATTCATAAGGAAGTGAAATCTGTAATTGCACTAAAGTCAGCTGTTCACAAACCGGTATGTAGTCCATTTGAACATTATTCCATGTGAACAAAATAATAAGCATTCAACACTTTCAATTGAACTTATATCTTTTTCTCGACAATTTTTATTCTATGCAATTTCACATCCGTGCAATTGATCTTTGTGCTATTTTTTGGCATTTGAACATTATTTAAATTGAAAATTTTCCACAGAAAAATTGTTCAAATGGACTTGATATTTTCATGGACATTTTAGTGCTATTGAATGAACGAATTAGTCCTTTTGAACATTTTCCACAGAAAAATTGTTCAATGGACTAAATATTTTCTCGGAAATTTTAGTACTATTGAAAGTTCAACATTATAGCCCAGGTGAACATTTTCCACAGAAAAACTGTTTAAATGGGCTTAATAGTTTCTTGATAATTTTAGTGCTTTTGCACGTTAGTCCTAATAAACATTTTCGAAAGAAAAAAATTGTTCGTTTGAACTAATTTGGAACATGTGGCAAAGTGATGAAATTTTTTTACTCATGACATTTTTTTGTTTATTTGTTCTAAAATGTGTTTGTTTGAACTGATTTGGAAATTGTGGCAAAATGATGAAAATTTTAACTTTAGTTCAAATTAATATCTTTTTGTTCATTTGTTCTATATTTTGTTTATTTGAACTATTAAGGATTTCCCCACTTTTTATGGTTTCAGTCTAAATTAACTTTTTTTGTTCATTTGTTCTAAAATTTGCTCAGTGGAGCTAAACATGATGACCCAAGTCTAGACAGGATTCTCCAGGTGGTTGGAATGGAATGTCTCCTCGTGTGTTAAGTTCAATTGAACGAATATTTGTTCACTAGGACTATAGTCCTTTTGAACGTTAGTCCAACTGAACGTTAGTTCAATCAATCATTAGTCTTAAAGATATGTCACCTATCGCAAATTATTTTAGATCAATTGAAGACCAATTCATGTCTTTTTTATTGTCATGCTTTGTGGGACACCTTGTACTATATATATAATATATATAAATCACATTAATCCTCTCATACAGGGGATGATTCATTTAGTGTACTTTCCCGTTTTACCGTGTATAAAACCAGGGGCGGATACAGAATTTAAGTGAGGGGGGGGGGGCAAGATTTTTTAGGAACAAAAAAATTCATAATTAGAAACAAAAAATCGCGCTGCAGGCGAAAATTTTTTTTGACTTAAAAGACTCAAAAAGAGTCAAAATTAGATTTTTAACTTTTCCCACATTATAGTTTATTAAGACAGATACTTTTCCCTTAAGCATGCTATTGAGAAGCTATTCTGAAAATAGGAACAAAAAATTCCAAATTAAGGGGCGGGGCTACGCCCCTCCCTGAATCAGTCAGGGGGTGGCGAATGTCCCCCCGCACCCCCCCCTGTATCCGCCCCTGTATACAACTTACTCTAGCTGCTTAAATGTCAGGCCGGTACTCCAAATGAACCGAAGTTTTCAGTAGCATATTTAATTGTTAATGTTTGTTTTTTCTTGAAAGAGAGTTGTTAAAAGTCGGACATTTCACATTTTGAATTTTACCCCCGAAACTAGCATAAAGTTCATTCTTAAAAATTATTAATTATCTCAAAAGACCAAGAAAGCACGATCTCTGTTCATAATTTACCAATAAAATCTGGCACTACCACCCTGTATCCGTTCTCCACAAAAGTAGGAATCATATTCCTGTATAGATAGGACCAGGAAGGTTCTCCATGTAGGCAGAGTACTACAGGTCCAGCCCTGGGTCCCTCGTCTATATAGTGGACCCGGGGCAGCTTTACTCCACAACCTCCGTTCAATCTGAGTATATGGATTGTAATTTATTTAATAAATTAAAAATGTGACAAATTCCTCTTGAAAGGGACAGACCAACTTTGTGCTCAAACTCAGGATTTACAGATCTTTAAAAAGTTGTATATGTCTCAAATAAATCCTTAAGAGTTTGTCCACAACACTGCATACTCAGTTCAACTACCTTACATTGCCGGTCTGTCCCTTTAATGAAAAAGCTCTGCTTGAGACGTAACCGGGTATTGCTACTTCCAAAGCCATCAGAGACTGTTTTTATGCTGTACGAGAAACTCTAATATTTTACGGGAATATCTGTCTTAAAAATTCCAACAAAAATTCGCGCCTACTCCAACATTAAAAAAAAAACTCTTTTGAGACAGGTTCTGGTCTGAGCGTCGTGGCTAGAACAGAGGGCTGTACATTTGTACATTTCTTAATATTGTGATTGGGGGAGGGGGGTCCAAAAAGTTAGGAACTAGGAAAATACCAATACTTACTCTACATAGTTTGGTGAGAAAGAGTATCCAGCCCTATCAAGGTTCTGAAATCTATCCTCTGGAGTCCGAACCACAACAGGAACACGCCCAGAAACCATTAAACGGTAGATGGGATTTAGTATCTATAACAGATTAAAGGTTCTCATTAAACGGTAGATGGGATTCAGTATCTATAACAGATTAAAGGTTCTCATTAAACGGTAGATGGGATTCAGTATCTATAACAGATTAAAGGTTCTCATTAAACGGTAGATGGGATTCAGTATCTATAACAGATGAAAGGTTCTGATCAAAAGTATTTTTTTCTTAGGTCAGAACTTTTGCTTGGTTAATCCATATGAAAAACTCTGATCCGTTTCTCTTGTGGTCCATAATGATTAATTAAATACATTCTGGAGATCTCTACACGTCGATCAGCTATCGCGAAAATATAAAACAGCTATTTTACACAAATAGGCATTAAATCGAATTAAATTAAAAGTTTCCACAATGGATGTAGAGTTCAAACAGGCCTTTGGATTAAAGCATTATGAAAAAAAAGTTCCAAACTCTAAGTCTAAAAAGCTAAATAAATTCAGGCTCTACTTGTCAATCATTATCATTTTTGAGAAGAATATTTTGACCAGAACCAGATTCAGAATTCTAGTTACTTTAGAAAATGACCGCCCCTGTTTTCTTCGTAAATTCAAGGCATAGCAATATAATGTTATAAATAAGTTCATAAAAAGAGTTAATGTTGTAAAAGTTGGCATGTTAAATGTTATGCGGTTCTATGCCAAATATGCAATTTGTATTGATTTGAAAAATGTCTCCGTTAAAATTATTTTTGATCATATCATCTATCTTTTTTTAAAGAAATATATTATTGATATTAATATCACCTGTTTTATCAAGTTTAAAATATTGATCAAAATAAATAGAAAAGATAAAAAGATTGTCATTCCAACACTTCTTGTTGCCGCCATTTTTCTAAAATAACATTTTTTGAAAGATGATATTTATATTTTTCTAAAACGATATTTTTTTTCTAAAGTGACATATTTTTGCTTTTCAAAATTATGTTAGTAATTTAAAATAAGACTTTAACAAAAAATTATATTTTTTGAATTTTAACTCTTTTTAGTGATAATTGATGCATTTATTAATAAAATATGTGACATCAAGCTGTCGTTGATATTTCTTGATAAGATTTTAATCATTTTAACCCTTTGATTATCTTCTTATATGATTAAAGATAAGACTCAATAATTATCCGTCCTACAAATCGAAAAATAATAATTGGGGGTAAATAACTTTCAAAAATTTAATAATCATAAAATTGTTGATTGGGAACAGGATTAGGAACAAGATTAGGAACAAGATTAGGAACAAGATTAGGAACAAGGTTAGGAACAAGATTAGGAACCAGATTAGGAACAAGATTAGGAACAAGATTAGGAACAAGATTAGGAACAAGATTATGAACAAGATTAGTAACAATATTAGTAACAAGATTAGGAACAGGATTAGGAACAAGATTAGGAAAAAGATTAGGAACAAGATTAGGAACAAGATTAGGAACAAGATCAGAAACATTTTATAATTTGAAACAACTTTGTTGTAAGGCCGGACTGACTTAGAAGCGTCACAACGCCTTTTTCTTCAGATTTCCCTTACTTACTCGATCCCGTACACTTACTCCCGTACACTTACTCCCGTACACTTACTCCCGTACACTTACTCCCGTACAGTTTTCCTTTTAGCCACGGACAAACAAAATTCATCCGCAACACGCTTTTTTTTCTAGCGTCTGCAGTTTAAAGGAATAATTGGCAAAGTTTTGTTTGATCTTTATGTTCAACGTGTTGAATAGATGCGTTGAACCCAAGTATAATGTAAATAAGAAAATCCTATCAATTAAAATATGATAGTAAAATTTAGCTTTGAAAAATAACATTCACTGAAATTTTAAAATAAGAAGTTTCCACGGCAAAATATGTTTGTCTTTGAATAAGGTTCTTGGTGCCGATGAATGATGTATCTTAATGAACTGAAGTGTACAACTGATAAATTTTTCTATTTGTATATTCGTGTACTATGACCTTTTCTTATCTATATGGCAGTGTATCCAAGGAGTATGAGGATTAATGTCCCCTGTATCATCATTATAATTATTATTATTATTATTATTAGTAGTAGTAGTAGTAGTAGTAGTAGTAGTAGTAGTAGTAGTATTCTATTCTGTTTAAACAAACGATGTTGAATCCTCATAGAAGTTATAGTATTTTTTACATAAATGTTGATTCCTTATTTGAGTTCTTGTATTATGTGTATCGAGCATTAAATTGATATTGGAATACTAGTCATCACTTTTCCAATATCTCTAGACCCATGCTAACACCTAACCATTCTCTTACCCTTTAACACGCTACAGAGGCCATTCCTTTCCAACATTTCAGCGGTCGACCATATGACGTCTCCTACTCACTCTTGTATGCCGAGTCCATTAGAGCCTGATCAAATCAGGGTTCAGCCATGTGTTTGTTTTCTATTCTGAACCATGAATAGAAATTTCATGGCGGTAACATCTATCTTTTTATCTAGCTCATTATCAAATTAGAGATAAATCCTTATATCGGCGCTATATCAGTAAATGGAAATATTTACTTTTACTGTAACTTTAGTGTACTGTATACGTACAAATTTTCCATCTATCAAAGACTTTGCCATCAACAGAAAAGAATTTAGCATGATACATGGTACTAGTATAAACGTCGGACCCACAAATGTCGGACAGTACAAACTTCAGACAGTTCAAACGTTGGGCAGTAAAAACGTCGGGCAATGCAAACGTCATGTCGTACAGTACAAACGTCGGACAGTAGCAACGTTGGACTGGGACAAACGTCGGACTAGTGCGAACACCGGACCAGTACAAACGTTGGACTTTTGTTGAGTTTGGAAAAAGACTATTGTTAAAAGAAAGAAGTTAAAAATCACTGACTTATTGTGATAAAAATCAAAGATAACTGATTACAGTTTCATCCTTGGAAGGTATACACTGTAAAATCAACAAACAAATAAGGAATTGAGTTCTTGTCACACACTCTGATGTTTTAATGCATATATTTTTTTAACCCGATGTCGTAGACCTTGGAAATTTCATGAACCCTTATGAAATCTGATGACATCTGATGAAATCTGATGAAATCTGATGAAATCTATAAGATCAAACAGTTTAAGCTTGTTTCAGTCTGACGTTTTTACTATAGTCTGACGTGAAGCAAATATCGTAGCAATCCCCATATTTGTTAACCTGAACATACCTAGATATATTATGTTGTACATTGTCTGTAAATCTAAATGCGCTTATTATTAACTACGCAAAACCTGTAATGCGATTAACCTAGCATAGCTACGTCTGTAAATACGTCAAAACCTGTATTGTGATTAACTTATAACTACGTCAGTGATTTTCTTTACTACGATTATAGATATATCTTTTAAATATGTAGATTAACTTAACCTGTAACATAGATATCTAAATACATCTTAGTTGGAAGGGACTCCACTTTGATCACAGTGAGAGAATTAATTGTTCCTTGTTTAGCAAACAAGTTGATAGTTTAGGAGATTGTGTCCGGTTTGTAATTGATAGCTGGCTCCTCAAACTATAATTTTCTCATCCCTTATATCTTTACAACCTAATAGTATAAAGTTTTTGTCAGCATACATTATTAAGTCGCCTTCTTCTTTTATACAAATATTATAGTAATGATATCTACTTGTTTTTTGAAGTTTTAAAGTTCTTTATTACAGCTTAGTGTTTTAGCGAAAAAAAAAAACTGAAAAAAAAGGCAAAAATGGCGTTTTTTATGCAAAAAACCTAAATAGAGATATCAAGGATTAAATATTTCAGGGTTTATATACAGATACACAGATAGACAGATAGTCAGACAGATACACAGACATATAGACAAACAAAGAAAGAATGATAGACAGATAGACAGACAGATAGAGAGGCAGATATAAAGGCTAAACAATCCTTATTTTTACTTTTTAGAATATTTTGGTTTAAGAGAAAAATGTCTGTAATTTTCAATCGACTTGTTTGAAAAGAAGAAAAATGTTCTAAATATTCTGTTGTTTCCGGTTTCCGGCTTCCGGTGGACATTACAGATAAAAATACCTACGGATTTATCTATGTATATTTGTTTACATAGAAAACCTGTTTTGTATTTGCAACCAGAGAAAAAAGAGATCATTCAAAGTAAAAATAAAATAATTTGTTTGGCTTTCATTAAAGAAAACGAAAACTTATCCTAATATTACCAAGTTGATTGTCTATGGAAATAACATTATAGTAATGGAAATAAGAAAAAGGGATAAGTCTATTTTGTCTGTGTTTCAGACGGAAATAACAGATAAATCTGTAGAGAAGAACTAAAGTTGTTTTGGGCTTTCAGTGTAATGTGATTCTGCAGTGAAATATGGGCAGTACAACCCAAAACTAGGAAATCCGCGAAAAACATCACATTTTTCACAATCTTTACTTGTTTGGCCATTTTAGGACCAATGAAATTAAAGCAAAATGTTAGATTATATTATTTCAACCATTTAATTTAGTGAAATTATCTTAGTTATTGTAAATGAGTATTTTTAAACTCTGAATTATGAAAAAAATATGGAATTTTTGAACTTTCAACAAAAATCTCTGAAAATAGTGTGCCCGTATGTTCTTAAAGATATGTCAGTTTAAAAAACATTTGAGGCTAAATTTTAACAAAATTTTGATCTATTTTGTATGTATTTTTTATAGTTATTCTTAATTTTAATCTTTAATAATTAATATTAACATCTGTCTCCTTTCTCATTGTTAAATCGGCAGATAAAATATTTATTGGACCTTTTGTATAAATCGTTAAAAGAACAACAGCTGACAGGTGACAGCTGACATATATTTGACCAAATCTCCAAACCAAATATTTTTATAAAATAAATATCGAATTATTTCTAGCAAATGTTACAAATGTATTGGAAAAGGTTATTATACTCTACAAAAGGTCGTATTTTTACTATTACAGATTAGAAAAAATTAAATCAAATCAATATTTTAGTAAGTTTAAAAACATTTTTTTATTTTTATAATAATTTTAGCTTTAAATATTACTTTTACATTGTAATTCTCTCTTTATAGTATTGTTCATAAACCAACACATAATTAATTCGAAAATTTTTGAAGAATGTTTAATGTTCAGAAAAACTTTTCATTGGTCCAAGGAGAAACGTCATTTTTGGTCCAGAAAAGTGGGGCATCAAAAATAAAAAAATTATTTTCCCGGAACATTTTTAAATAAGGGTAAAAATAAATAATTATTTCCCCCTTCAATACATAAAAGTTTAATGGTATAAATGGATGTAAGAACCATTCCCACCAATTTTCCATCCATTCAAATCCATTTGTCGCCGCTAAATTTTCTATATTTCCCATTCCGGGTTGAAATTGGTTGGAAGACCGGCAGAATATTACATTTTGCTCCTTAAATTGGCAGGGAGACACTTTTATAGTCAGCATTCAGATATAAATATATATATTTGTCCATTTCTTTATTCATCTTCCAAGAAATAAATAAAAAATTTAAAAGTTATTTTCGTAAATGTGATAAACGATGCTAGTTATATACAGTGATACTAAGAAAACTCTGGAAAAGAAAGATGACTCAATTTATGACTTGAAATAGTCCAATGAACATGAGACATAGCGATTAAGTGCATCGTAAATATGCCCACTTCACCTAATAAGTTGATTTCCAAGCTACTGCATATACTATTATCTCTGTATCCACATCAAATTCACTTTATCATTACATAAATGTCGTCTTTCTGTTCCAGAGTTTTCTGGTTATCACTGTAAGCTTACTAGCAAATTATTGGAAATATTTCTTTTTTGTGAGAAAATATCTTGGATATTCAAACTAATACAATAG